CTCCGGAATAGTTTATCCGTTACAGCCGAACCCTTTGTCCTTTGTTGCATTTTCTGTCCCGAATATGTAGTAAAAACGGCAATTCTTTAGCTTGCCTTGTTACAGAGAAAATCTCCGAGCTTACGTTGTCTATTTTTCGACTAAAATAACTTCGAATTCCAACTCATCATACATCATATGATTCGCTGAAACCTGGGCTATTCTCCTGAAATTACAAAAGATATGTGGGGTCCAAAAATATGCCAATTGGTTTGTTGTTGTTAATAAAACTATAATAAGAACTGTACATACGGTGACCCAAAATTTAATATTCGATTCCTGAGCTGTAGAAATAAGAAAAGGATCTTATGCGCCATAATTCTACTGCAGAATTACAGTTTTCTGTGATTTGATATCTCTGTTGAAAAGTGATTAAAGAGAATGTGAATTGTAGAGGAGTTGTAAGAAAATAGCTAATTATTCATTTCCTACATCTTTTCATGCGCCTGTGTACCATGCGGGTGGGTGGGTTGACGGAAATATATTGAAAGAGAAGTAAGTGTTGTTAATTTAATTGAGAATGACGCATTAGAATTAGAAAGAATTCTATACTCTAATCCTAGAATTAAAATTTATTATTTCATATCACCAGATCATTTTTTTGTTCCGGTGATTATTTCTAATTCTAATGAGTTATTCTCGATTAAATTAATGACATTGTCCTCGCTTTCAATATATTTCCGCCAAACCACCAGCATGGCTCACGGGTGCATGAAAGGATGTAGGAAATGAATAATCAGCAATTTTCTCACAACTCTCCAATTCACATTCTCTTTAATCAGTTTTTACTTTTCAACAGAAATGACGAATGTGAGTACAACTACTTTATCATTCCTTATATCTCAGTTGAATTCCATCAACTCGGAATTAAATCGTTATATTCCTATACCGTTGTTGGTATTAGGAACATTGGGAAATATATTCAACGTAATTATGTTTCGGCAAAAAGCGCTCAGGATTCTACCATGTTCTATTTATTTTTTATCATCAACTGTGTGCAACTTTTTTGGTTTATATTCTGGTCTTATTACACCCTTTCTCAGTTTGTATGGCCTTGATCCAACGGTCTATTCTGCGGCATTGTGTCAAGTACGATATTATATTCGTTATACATCCATTACATTATCGTCATGGTTTACTCTAATAGCATGCATAGATCGTTTTATGTCAACTTCTCAGAATGCAAATGTTCGTCATTATAGCAGATTATCGATAGCCTATCGTGTGACGCTTATTACCGTTTTGGTCGGTATGACAGGTCCATTAGTATTCTTGATTGAACCTCTGAAGGTAAAGTTTAGATATCGGTTTGTAGAGTATTTCGCACCGCTCTATTTAGAAGAAACATTAACCTTAACAGTAGAACGTCCGGAAATTTTCATGACCTAGAACGCCCAAAGCGGTCATTTTGACCGTTATTGTTTTTTTTAAAAATTTTATACTTAAAAACGGTTCCGAATTCAAAAATGAATTAAAAATTCTGCAAAAAATAATTCACAGACATGTTCACAAATTTTTGACTACGGTAGTTATATTTGTTTTGAATGCATAACATATTGGCATTTACATGATCTAATAAACTGAACTGAAGAGCGTGGCACTGTCTATCAGATTGCAGAACCACACAGACACTAACTAGAAGGACTATGAGAGAAAGAACACGCATATTATCAATATTCGGTTGTTGTATCACGTGGCCAACTGTATTATATTTACTGTAAGACGACAAAGGTCAACAATGCAACTGCAGGTGAAGCGAAAAGCAAGAAGCGTAGGAACAAAGAATAGAAAGAGTGCGTACTGTTCATATGTTTCTTGTAATATAACAATATATATTGTATCACATATACCTTTTCGAACGTAGTAGAAAGTAACTTAATTCAGAACTTGTTTTTAGTGAAATTCCTTGTGTCCACTGTATCGCATTTCGCAGTATCCCGAAAACAAAAACCCAGTCCATCGATCTAAACGAAGTGATAAAATGTTGCCTTGTAACTCACTCTCACGCTATCGTATTCTCTCCGAGACATGCCAGATAATCTGCTAATACGAGCCCATGAAAAGAAATAAATACAATCCTATTAGAAGGCTTTCTCACACGTCCTAGTTTCCCAGGGATTTCGTAGAAAATTCGTTCCAGAAAAAGTTTTGTTTATGAAAGGTGCTTCCAAGTCTACTCTTGCGCATGATGAGAATCGGAGTTCTCTAGTTTATTCTATGAAAAGGTATACAAAAAACAAGCGATGATACTGTTCTTTTTACAGATAATAACGTCTGATTATTATAGCACTACTCTGACGCAAAATGCGGCTTTAAGTAGCAGTGAAGGTGAATAGCAGTTAGTTTTCTATGCTTAGTAGTACTGATAGTCTAGTTTTCTTCCATTAACTGTTCCAGAACCTGTTGATATTGGGCCACTAGGAAATGTGCCATTGACTGGTAATTGCAAAACGTACTGGTGGTCTAAATATGGGCCGTTACATTGATCGTTTTTGCAGGTTAATGAAATTTGTGCGGAAATCAATATTGATTCTGGCCTTTTTGGTGATGTAAAACCAAAAAGGATAATGTGCAAGATTAAGTTTCCGTTGGAATTACAGTCCCAGAATCCAAGAATATTTTCAGTAGGTTCCTGCGGATTATTTTCATTTGCATCAGCACCAAATAACACAGCATTACTATAGAGAATGTACGGATTAATAGTACTGATCTGATACGGTGATGTAATGTTGATAGTGAATGAATATAAACCGGAAAATGTTTGATGACACGATTTTATTGTTGGGTGACCAGAAAGTCGACTTGTCGTGAATGTTGGAGGAGAAGCAGAGAGTGCAGCATTGCGAAGCGGCATACTCTGATACTGGAGTGGATAATAGAGTTCTTGTTGTATACCAGTGCACTGATCATATTGTGATGGACATTGAAAATAGAATGTGGCCGAAACAATTTTCTGACCGTTTGTTTGCTTGTTCGATGGATAGGTGAAATAGTTGGACAGTCCGCTGGCCGAACCACTATCGCTACAGTACCATATACCTATACCAGAGAGCCTGACATAGGTTATTTCAGTAATCGCGATCAGAATCTATACGTACCGAGACTTGTGCCACGTATATGCTTGCCATTGTTTTTTCGTTCATTGGATGTAACACTGATGAAGTAGCCTAAGGGAGTGAAAGATACTAAACCGTAGGTTTCATCAGAGTATTGTACTACGTAAACACCACTCATGTTACTGTAACATTTATCACTCGCTGCCGATGTCACTGTCGGATGTGTGTATAGTCTTCGTGATTGAAACTGTCTGATGGTTTTGGGCGATAATGGATCTGTATAGCGCCCTGTTGTCGGGTTTGGCTCTTGAAGTTTGTAAAACTCACTGGATAGTGTTCCTGTTTGAACACAGAACCGTTCTGTCACTGCAATCATCGCTAGCACCCTGACATGTGACCACTGCTTCCGACAGACCGGTACTCATATTACCCGATTCATCGAAATACTGACCATGAAATGACAGCACTGCTTTGTCCAGTTGTTTCTTACATGTATAGAAGCCAGCCTGATCACTGAAATATTGACTTGCATTCAGCTTTGCAGCGGAATCCACTTGAAGAACACCGCCAAGTGGAAAGAAGAATAATATTGCATAATCATTGGCACCATGAAATTTTCTTAAGTAAATTCCACTTACATCTCTGAAACATTCGGGTATGTTAATGGCTCTTAACCCAACTTGAATTGTCGACAGACCAAAAAATAATAATAATACCCAACGGTTGTCACTGATTATTAGCATATCGCTCAATGTTCTTGAATTGTCTGTTTGGCAACTTGTTCCCACAATGTATACTATTGTCCACTGATCACTTATAATATGTGTTCTCTCTTCTCTGTGTCTTGTATTGTTAACATCAATTTTTTCCCTATACTGTTCTTTTGTTTTCCGCTGTGTTTGAGCAAGTACGTAACAGATATTATTATATAACAAGAAACATATCAAAAGTACGCACTCTTTCTATTCTTTGTTCCTACACTTCTTGTTTTTCGCTTCACCTGCAGTTGCATTGTTGACGTTTGTCGTCTTACAGTAAATATAATACAGTTGGTCACGTGATACAACAATCAAATATTGATAATATGCGTGTTCTTTCTCTCATAGTCCTTCTAGTTAGTGTTTCTGTAGCCCAACAACCGCTATATTTAGACTTGCGAAAACGGACAAATGAATTTAATATCTTCATCTTCCCTAAAACAACACATCTGATTAACATTAAGACTTTGTCTTGCGAAGATTTTCTGTGAAGATCTAAAAGGCATACTTTTGTTAACAGGTTTTTTGGAAGCGCTTTTGGAAAATCTCAACGTTTTGTATAATGTCTTTCGACATCTCCTCTAAACAGGATACAGAATAGGTTAAATATACAGCAATCTGAAGTTTTGTCTGAATTAGGGGTGTTCATCTAGTGTAACTTTACAAAATAAATCAATGAATCATTTATATTTGAAAAATCAATATAAATAAATGAAAAAAAATTATCTTTATTTTACAATAGTAAATGAATTATTTTTATTTATTTATTTCGACCTTTATTTGAAAAAAAGAAAGTAGAAATAAATAAATAAAAACAAATCATTTACTTTAATAAAAAAATCTCTCTATCGTTCCATTGGATTGTGGATGATATGCCAAAGAGAATATATGATGAATCTCAATTTTGTTCTTTAATGCATGAAGTAGTTGATTACGAAAGTGTGAACCGTTGTCAGGTAAAATAGTGACGACAACGCCATAGTGGCAAATGTAATGCTTGAAAATCGCTTCTGCAGTCGCTGCAGCCGTGCAGCTTGAAAGAGCTACGGCTGTGACTCACTTGATAAATAAATCTGTGATGGCAAGAAGGTAACGATTCTCAGAAGGAGAATGATTTAACGGTCCTACGTAATCAGTTGCAATGATCTGAAATGGTCCGTCTGGTGGTGATATTGGTTTCAAATAGCCTGGTTGTTTTTGTCTAGATATGTTAAATTGTTGACATTTAGAACAAGATTTGATATATTTTTCAACAGGAGACTTCATGTCTGGCCACCATAATTGATGTTTTACTTTTGCTAGTGTACAATGAATAGCAAAATGACCAGAAAGCGGACCATTTGTGAGAAGCTTCAAGTAAAAGTGGAATCACTGATGGTGCACAGTGCGTCTTTTTCGCTAGAGCAGACGGAAATTAGCTTTATAAGTGAACTAAAATTATTTAAACCATTTTCTTGTAGGTTTTCGATGATGCTCTTTCCAATGGCATGGTTCTTGCATTTTGAAAAGTTTTCTAAGAGGTTTTCCAGATGTTCGGTCTCTGGAAAACCATCTAGAACGCTTTTTCAACATTCAAAAGCCATTGCATTGGGAAGAGCATCATCGAAAACCTATAAAAAAATTGTTATGCGCCATCCCGTCTCTTTATCTCGCATTTCGAAAATTTCAAGACAAAAATTCTATGTGTGGACAGTAGAATCCAAGAAATCAATGGGATTCAAAAGTATTCGTCCGAAACTGAATTAGTTATACACCAATCGACGCAGTTTTTCACGCTGATTCCGAATATGTATACATTATATTGCAAAAAGTGATGTTCAACGGCGAAAACTCAGTCTTACCTGAAAAACCCATGAGTCTTGGGAAATCTCTCTAAAACTGCAGGTAAAGTTTGGCAACCTTTGGCTAACACTACGTTATAATGCTCATCTTGGGAAAAAATGAACGTCCTATGAGCTAGGAAAATTTGGGGAAAGTCTTTGCACCGACCGTACACTTTGGTAGAAGTGCTTTTTCGGAAAGATGCCAAGATATTTTTTAACCAAAGTGCCTAACAATAAACATTTTTCCAGCGGCAAATAGCCCGATTTCCGCTGATTCTAAATATGTGTTTGGATTGTATTTAAACATTAATCTAAGGGTAGAAAAACTAACGTTTTTCATATAGTCAAAAGAATCTACAGTAAGTTTTCGAGCTAATTTTTCCCATAAAGACACGTCTTCCGAGAAATTTTTTTTGCATTTAGATAGACCAATACATGACGTATATAGCACGATCTTCAAATTACGAAAACTAAAGCTTCGAGTTTTTGACAAAATTTCCGTCTTTAGGAAAAAACATGAAATTCTCCTGGAGAAATTTAATAAAAAATTAATAATCTCGATGTTATACCTGGAGTGCTCGCTTTATTTACATCTAACTTGCGTAATATTTTCTCTACATCGTATGATGTTACCACTATTTGAGTTAATTTATTTGTTGAGGATGCTAACTGAGAAAAAGGCTTTTTTGGCGCCAAAATCCAAAAAAAAAAAGCATGGAAAAACACCGATTGTGAAGAAACAACGATTTATTCAGGATAAACCATGGAGTGCTTGTGGCGAAAGAACGTTGTCTTTAGGAAAAAACAGGAAATTCTCGTGGAGAAACGCCGATTTGTTCAGAAAAAAACCTGAAGTTCTTGTGGAGAAACCCCGATTTGCTTAGAATAAAACACAAAGTTCTTGTGAACAAACACCGGTTTGATCTGGAGAAAACCTGAAGTCCTTATGTAAAAACACCGATTTCTTAATTAAAAAACATGAAGTTCTTGTGGAGAAGCCCCGATTTCTTCAGGAAAAAACATGAAGTTCTTGTGGAGAAACACGGATTTCTTGAATAAAAACATGCAGTATTTGTGGTCAAACAACGATTTGTTCAGAAAAAAAGTTTTTGTGGACAAACACCTGTTTCTAGACGAAAAAACATGACGTTCCTGTAGAGAAACGCCGATTTCGTCAGGAAAAACATGAAGTTCTTGTGGATAAACACGGATTTCTGCATTAAAAAACTTCTGGACTTGGTGCGTGTGTGGAAAAAATATGAAGTTTTTGTGGAGACAAGCCGACTTGATCAGGAAAAACATGAAGTTCCTGTGGACAAACACCGATTTGCTTAGGAAAAAACACCAAGTTCTTGTGGAGATATCCCGATTTCTTCATTACACCATGATATTCTTTTGGAAAAACACCGATTTCTTCATTAATAAAATAAGAATCGTTCTACACGAGAATTACGATGTTTTATGCAGTTATGGATATGACATGGAACATATTATGCTATGTTCACAAGAGTTTTGTATCTGTGCTTAAGAACCTTCTTGTGTGGGTCACGAGAAGAATCCTTGTACAAGAGAACCATGCTGTTTTGTGTGAGAATTGTACATATGACCTCGAACATATTATGGTATTAGGTTGGCCAAAAAGTTCTGCAACATTTGCGAAAAAGTTAATTTTTATGCGCAAATTTATTTAAAACAATAACAACTACTATTCAAAATAAAGGTCATCGTTTTCAACAATCTTTTGCCACCGATCTGCAAGCATCCGGATTTGATTGAAGTACCATTCTGCCGGCTTCGAATCGAAGAACTCCTGACACGCTTCCTCAACTTGATCAAATGCCTCGAATCGGCGACCACGCAAAAAGTGCTCCATTGATCGAAAGAGGCCGTAATCGGATGGCGCAGCGTTGGGACTGTAGGTTGGGTGAGGCAAGACCTCGACTGCCTCCAGTTCATCACATTTCTCCTATGTTTCCTTGGCGGTGTGGGGTCTAGCGTTGTCTTGCTGGAACAAAGCGCGTTTGCGACGAACGAGGGTCGGGTACTTCTCCTTGAGCTTGTCATAGACACGGTCCAGTTGCTGGCAGTAGAGTTCGGCGTTCACGGCACGGCCATTCGAAACCAGTTCAAAGTGAAGCACGCCCTCAAAGTTCCACCAGACGCAAATCATCGCCTTCTTGCCGAAACGATCTTGACACGGAACTGATGGCGGATCTAGACCTCGCGGAACCCACTGCTTCTGCCAGTTGTGAGTGACCAAGTAGACTCATTTTTCGTCCGAAGTCACAATACGCTTTCAAAACCGATCATCCAATGGATTTTCCAGCAATTGACGGCAGACTTCAACACGACGCTTGGCTTGCGCTTCGGTCAACTCGTGTGGATCCTGGCGAGGCTTCTTGTGCACAAAATCCATTTGATGCAGGTGATTGAGCACAGTCTGATGGGACGAGACTCCAAAAACCGACGCCAATTCACGGCTGCTCGATGAAGGCTCATCTTAATCATAACGTTGTTTATTAAGAAAAGGATACAACAAACTTGACTTAGCGAGCAGACCAAGGTCTATGGTGCAGAGTCAACCAAGGCTCATCTTCCAAGGCTGCCCGCAGACCTTCGTTGTCCAACGTTGATGGACGGCCGGAACGTGGTTGATCTTCGAGACTAAGGTCATCGGAATCGAATCATTTGTACCATCGGGAAACAGTTGTGTAGTGGACGGTTCCTTCGCCTTCAACATTACAAATCTCTTTCGCAGCATCTCTCGTCGAAAGTCGTCGCTTCCAAGAATAGCGTATCAAGACTCGAGGCTCGATTTTGTCCAATGTCATCTGTAACTTTGAGGATAAAGATGAACCCGAAACACGATAAACACAAAAACAACAAAAATTGTGCATAAAACACATAAAAAATTAACAAAAATGCGCATAAAAATCAACTTTTTCGCAAGTGTTGCAGAACTTTTTGGCCAACCTAATAGGTTCACGAGAATTTTGTATCTCACCTAGAGAACTTGTTGTGTGAGTCAGGAGAAGAATCCTTTTACACGAGAAGCATGCTGTTTCGTCTGAGTATTGTGCGTACGACGTCGAACACATTGTGCTAACTTCACGAGAATTTTATATCTCTTCTTAAGAACTTTCTTGTGTGGATCACGAGAGGGATCGTTTTACAGGACAATTATCCCGTGTTGTGTGAGAATGGTGCATATCACATCGTTATTCACACATCGTGTTATTATGACATATTTTGCTATCTTCACGAGAATTCTGTATGTCTCCTTGAGAACTTTCTTGTGTGGGTCAGGACAAGAATCCTTTTACACGAGAATTATGCTGTTTTGTGTGAGAATTGTACATAAGACCTCGAACATATTATGCTATGTTCACAAGAGTTTGGTATCTGTGCTTAAGAACCCTGTTGTATGGGTCACGAGAAGAATCCTTTTACAAGATAATCATACTGTTTTGTGTGAGAATTGTACATTTGACCTCGAACATATTATGCTAACTTCACGAGAATTTTGTAACTCACCTTGAGAACTTTCGTGTGTGGGTCAGGAGAAGAATCCTTTTACACGAGCAGTATGTTGTTTTGTGTGAGAACTATGCACATGAGCTAGAACATATTCTGCTGTGTTCACAAGAATTTTTTATCTCTGTTTAAAAACTTTCTTGTGTTGCTTACGGGAAGAATCCCCAATGCTGCATGTCCCTTTACATTTATTGAGTATGTTAACTTACTAATTAACTTTCTTTTTATGTCTGCAGGTGCTGCAGCATATTTTTCTGTTTCTTCTTTTTTATTGTAGTTCGTTCTGAGAGATCAGGTGCAATGACTCTTGTCGATTCCAGTCTACCAGAAGAAGTCATTTTGATGACAGAACAAAGTAAAATGAGCTATTGTAATGTATGGAAAACCGACTATTACAAATGTAAAAAATTTCGCTACGTATCTTCACAACACTTAGTTTCGCAATCAATACTTTAATTATATATTATTGCAGTCAACCATGAATTACATTTACTGAATTTCATGCTCAATTTCTCAAATATATACACATAGTGCAACTTTTACACAAGTTGTGTCATTTGGTGCAAAATAATAGTGCAGAGCTTAATCGTTTAAATTTTCTACTGCAGTTGCTTTTATTGCACGTAAAAATACTCAGTTGTTGTGGAAAATAAGATCACATGTAAGAAGCGTCACGTTTTGAAGCAAGAATGGCGTCTCTCAGCTGATAAGCGCGTGCGTCTCGTATACGAGACGCCCGGAATCAAAGGGTTAATAGACTTTTTTGATGATTAATGGTACTAGAATCTAAAATTGTTGTGTATTTGTGCCATGTTCGAATTAGTGCCACCGAGCCAGTCAAGTCAGGTAGTAAATATTTTATCCACTAAGAAAAAACTCGGTCCAAAAAAGTTCTTTCGCTCGATATTGAAAAAAAAATCGATGGTACCTAAATAATAACACCCGTAAACACGCTTCAAATAAAAGGCAAAAAGACTGCAAATTCGTTCTTGCTGTCGAGAAGTAAAATAAAAGAAGAGTGGGATGATCCAAACAGAATACGGATAAACAAAAGCAAAAAAAGCTCGACGATGGAGATTAATCGAAAACTGTTGATATCGTACGAAATTCACGGACACAATTTGAAAAGATGAAAAAATCTGAGAACAGTGAAGATTCAAAAACTGGTCAAGACCTAATTTTGATGTCATTAAATAAGCGAGAGCAGTGAATTTATTAACAAATTTGATCTCATGTTATTAGGGGATAGTGTGAAGTTCAAATTTAATCATCCGACGTTTATTTAAAAACAGAAATAAAACAACGAAAGGAAAAAGAACTCCTCGAACGATGACAATGTTGGTCTATATATTTATCTGTATCAACGAAATAAAAAGGTGAAGGATGACAATGACCAAAAAGGAAAAGAAAAGTCATATATGTATAGTCCTATATGTATAGTCATACATGTGCGTAGTAAAATGGACGAACGAAAAAGGAATATCACTTGAAAAAGGAAAACGAAAGGAAAATATATATATATATGTAACTGTGAAGGCTGAAAGCCTGTAACAATCATCCCCGCACCGAAAAATGTGTGTCCTCACACATGAAAGTTCAAAAAGAAGGAGAATGATAATGATAATGATGCAATAGTTAGATTTGAGATTTTTATTTTTTTTTATTTTTTACTAAACATATAAAACGTAGAGAAAAATAATGAATAACTGTGCACGACGTAAATGCGGATAGAAACAGAAAAAGAAAAACGCAGTATATCTGACCAGTTGACTAGACATAGAATGGAAGTGAGATGTTCATAACTACTACTTTATGGAGAGAAATATGTGTCACGTCAAAGTTCAGCGGCGACGGGACTTTGTTTGAATGCGTCGATAATGATCATGTGTGAACATATTTGGATGTAACATTTCGTCGACCCATTGTTTTGTTCGTTCATCTTTTAATCCAATGAATAATACATGTCCAACGATGTTGAAATTAACCCAATGGATGTTCATATCGATGAGGATTCGTTTGACAGTGGTAATGGTAAAATCCTTGTAAAGATGTCGAATTACTTCGAAATTATATCGCTTGGCTCGACGTTTGCGATTCTTCCGCTGCTGTTTTGTTAATGATGGTCGATGGGATGGTGGTTCAATGGGTATTGTACGAGTGGTTGATGTTGAGGATGGACGATTCGATGATGGTTCAATGTGTATGGTACGAGTTGTGGTTGTTGATAATGTACGATGTGATGATGAGTATGCACACAAGTCGTTGATGATGATGAGTGTCGATGAGACTGGGAATGAAGAAACGTTGAGAAGACTACATTATGTATTAAAGCAAATTAAACTCGACATTCCCGAACTACCACCAAATAATATTGTTCAAAACAATACACTTCCACACACTTTTAATCGTTTACACTTTTATTAGTTGTAGTGTCAGTCATTTAGCGGGTAAAGTAGACGGAGGAAATAGGTGTACCACTATATGATTATGCGACGAAAAAATGATCGAACACAAGTGTTGTATTATAATGAACAAAGGAGATGTTTCGTGCGGTAAATGGAGAGCTTCGAGGATGACGACGATCGATGAACAAGCGGGTCGAATAAATTCGATCTGCAAAATCGCCGGAGCGTGTGTTAATATGTCATTTTCGGTGTCGACGGTAAAGTGTGTTGTCGTTTGTGCTGCATCGATTAATTTGTTGATGGTGTGAATATTGATATTACGATGAATGAAATGACATGCAAATCCTACCGGTTGACGAAATGGTGTTAGTTCGCCCTGGTCGCATTGTTGTGCTAATTGTTGTTCTAATTTAACTTTCTTTGGTTGAAATCGAAGGTTACGTCGCTCGAGCCGGACTAGTGGCGATACATAAGAGCGAGACGATGTTTGATAATGACGGGACGATACTTAATGATGATATGATGTAGACATCTAGAAGAGAAACATATAAACAGGACTCGAATTCAAGGAAATGATTCCAAGATGAAGCCGCATTATGAAACATGAAAATCCTGCGAGGAAATTCATCTATAAGGGGTCGATGGATCGCGGGTATTAATAATAAGAAGGATAATAGCAATAATAGCCGCCAAATATTCTTGTACAACACATATCAATGAATATTCAACCGTCGTTGAATTATCATTTTCCATTATAGTCGGCAATGAAACAATGATTGGCCAGTCATCATCTCCACCGGTTCTACAAAGGTGTGTTTTTTAAAGAGAGATGCTGTTGTCAAAATCATAACAATCGGTATAAATCCATGAATA